AACTCCTAAACCCTAAACCCGAAGCGCATGCGCGCGTAGGCCATTGACAGCCTGAAGGAAAGAGCAAATGAAGCTGCGGCAGGCACATCTACTTACTGGTCGTTGATAGGTAAGAAGGGATTAGGTAGCATCTAGGGTTTAGGGTAGGGAATAAGGCAATATATGCGATAGTTTCGGGACTATACAGGGATCATATTCCCATATATCTTAGGTGGACCCCCCACCCAGCAATATTGACTATAAGGGATAATAGGGATTATATGAGGGTCCTCTTATGTTCCTAGTATACCACTATTACAGGGTGGGGGGTCCTCCTAACATATATCCCACAAGGAACCTGGGACCATAAGATTTGCTCTACCGCATGAAATCGTGTTTTCTGGGTACGCAGTTCTTGCTTGTACGTAGCTACTACCCGGGATGCCGTACCAAACTCCGAGCCGGGACGTGTCTTTCCAATTCCAATCGCATACAGACCGACGTTCATACCTACATAAACCTCCCTTCCGATCTCTGCCTTTATATCTGTCTCTCCTTCTCTGCCCCCCCTGTTTCTAGAAAGTCCGCAGGCCTATGAGCTGTAGTCTAAGACCCCTTAGCAACCCCTAAATTACTCCCCTACATAAGCGCCCCCGATAATGATCATATGGATTTAGACTACCAGCTACAACCTGCTAGGTGGAACTACTAGGGTGTAGCGTCTAGGGTTTGGGATTAGGGATTAGGGTTTGGGTATTACGGATTAAGGTTTGAGGATTAAGGTTTAGGGTTTGGGATTAAGGTTTAGGATTTGGGGATTAAGGCTTAGGGTGTTAAAGCGAGGGTTCACGGATTAGGATTTAGGGTTCAGTCAACATATAGTCCCCTTAAAATAAATAGAATATGGCTTTGGGTACATCATGATATGATCCCCATGTACATACCCCATATTCTATCTACTGAAGGGAGACTAAAACTAGGATTCAGGGATTAGGGATTACCCTGAGGGTCCACGGACCCAAATAATAGGGTTTTAGGGCCCAAATACTATGATATTAATGGCATTTGGGCCCTCCAGCCCTATTATTTGGGTCCTTGGACCCTCAGGGTTGGGCTTTATAAATTGGATGCGCAATAGCCCGGCGGGCTTATCCAGGCCTAGGGCCCTGTGGCATGCGGTGTCAACTCTGCATCCAACTGTGGGCTGATGGAAATTAAAATGGCAACTACCATATTGGGTTTAGGGTTTGGGGTTCAGGGGAGGAAGAGCTTAGCTTTGATAAATGTTCGAATTTACATCTGCCTTTGAAAAAAGAATCAGGCGAGGTTTTCAGGCCAAGGTTTCAAGGTCTTATAATTTAACACTCGCTAGAATGGCAACCGCGTAGCACTTCCGGATGACTAAGCACCCTCCCCCCCCAGACCAGAACTCCCTAATATGCACTTGGTTCGGCAGTTGTCACACACAATATAGGGCCGCATACAGCAACTTCTTGCTCAACACGAGCCTTCATTCACTTTTGAATCGCCTGCATACAAAGAAGCCTGCCTCTAGAAGTTGTCAAAATGCTACCGAGATCCCGTCATCGATTGGATACAAAACTTCGAGCCCAAAAACAAAAAAACGCATCGTCTTTTCCATTCCCTTATCCCAAGCAACGCTGATGCCTGAACCAAGAACTTCATCAAGCTTGCACGCCAGTTGCTTTTACCACGCTCTGACACTGCTGCGCCGTTTCCTTGCACAAAGGGCACAAGCTGAACAAGTGAGGGCGGTCAAAGCTAGGCAAACGCGGTGTTGCGTTCAATCTGCGCTGGCCCTGGGGGGTGCAATACGTGCTCGCTGTCTTCAGCGCAAAAAAGGGTATACCAAGAAAACCATTTGGAGAGCCCGCCAGGGGTGATTCAGAACTCCATAAATTGCTTACAAGTAGGGAGGGCTGGATGGCGCCTCAACAGTACTGCGGTAGAGTCGTGCCCACAAGTCTCTCAACATGGCCCTGTGTGCTCAAAATACACCTCAACTACGGGACCTTGCACTCTGCAGAGACTTGCTCCGCCAACAAAAAGACCAATCAGCACATGCCAATGTTGCAGCTTCAGGAGGGAGCCTTGTAGCTTACGGGGGTGGAAAAACCTGGACCACTTAGGTATATAGAAGGCATAGCAGCAATATATGGGTCGTTCTCAAATTAGGGTCCCATATTAGTACCCCTAAATTCTTACTGCCGTAAGAACTTATAACCTAACGGGACCCATAATTTTGAGAACAAACCATACGGGGTGTAAAGGTAATGGGATTAGGGATTCCTTCCAGGGGTCCCTCTCCTATTAGGCCTTGATAACCCCTGATCCGCGGAGATTAGTGTTTAGGGTTTAGGGTTCCCGGCGCGATTACAATACCTCACACTTGAACCTCCTCATCACAATGCTGCTGTTTGTAAGGGGGTAACCGTGATCAATCCTCTCAATAGACCCAAAGTACAGAAATTATAAGCCTTAAGTTGCACCCTACCACTTTTTAGAAGGCCGCCCTAAACCCTAAGCTCTTAAGTGACTTAAGCGCATATGAAGGCTGAGCCTACACGTTTGGGGTTTAAGGTCTAGGGAACCTATACTACACCTCCCCTTTCTCCTTAGCCCCAATGTTCGGAATTATTTTGGGCTCATGTAAAAAAAGACTCCGAATAATTCTTATTAGTGCTCATGTATGCTTTGTCCAAGGGGACGGGAGCACGGAGGGTGTGGTACGGGATCCCACACTTAGGCTTGGCCCAAGCCCTAAATCGCCGAGTTTCGTAGCTCATCTGCTAGCTGGTCTTCCAGAATTTGGAAGACTGCGCCGAAGTACCGCGCCCAAAAAGCCTTTCGGGAACTTTGTCTGGCTTAAGACAGTTTAGGGTTTCCTAAGAATAGGTGTGCCATTTTAGGGGTCTTTATAAATATGAGCAGGACGAGAATATGGTGGGGTCTATATTGGGGTATTCTTATTTGGGGAAACTATCACATTGACCTTTCAGGCTCAGGCTTGCAGCTGCTAATTTTGCAGGAGTTTGATCCTATAGGGTTAGAGCTTTTGCAACTTGCATGGCCACAAGGGTTTAAGGTTGAGGGTTTGGAGCCCTAAACCCCAAACCGCTTTAGGGTTTAGAGTTTGGGATTTGGAATTAGGCGTTGTTTTAAGGCTTCGTCTGATTTTGGGTTCAAAGTTTTGGCAGATGAAATGGCGGCAGCAGAGCCTGATTGGAGCGGAACTGTAGCTAAGGGTCCCTTAGGTGCCAACCACATTCCAACATGCAAGCCACTCCCCAAGGGTCCAAGGACCCAAATAGTAGCGCTTTAGGGCCCAAATACCGTTAATAATGTAATATCTGAGTTCTGAAACCCTTTTATTGGGGTCCTTGGACCCTCAGGGCCTATGCAAGAAGAAGCGCCTAGACAAAGAAGACCACACCGATATGATTTCTGCAAGGGCCCTCCTCATCCATAACCATCCAGATCTCTTTGGGCAAGCTATGCCAGGAAGACCATCGTCCCTGTAACTTGCCATGAAGCACCATCCATACAAAGCCTGTGTGGGCCCAAAAATCCCCAGACCCAAGCTGATATACTAGGCCAGCTAACGCTAGTACGCAATAAAACGGCAAGAACGACATTAGAGCAGCAAGAACAAGGTGTTCAGGAGTACTGGGAACATTAGGAACTTGCCAACACACTTGAGGTTAAAAAAGACAAACGAAATTCCTATATGAGTTCCCTCCTTTCATATGAATTCCGGGGACCTGATCTGCGCCCTTCACCTATCCCCCCCAAATGGCAAATCAAACAACTAGTATTGCGGACATTTGGGATGTCCATGTACTTTTTGGATCCCCGAACCCTGAACACCTCACCCTAAACCCTAAAATCCAGTTGCAGCGGCTCCCCAGGCCTCTTCCGCGATCTTCGCTGGAACGAGGCGCAAGCGCAAACCTGGCGTTGAAGTGATTTACAGTATTCGTAGGCTTTCAAGAACTCCACGTGCGGGAAGTTGCAATATTCCTAGATGGCGATTGCAATGATGCGACACATTGCTTTCAAGATCTGCGAATGCTGTAATTTGCCATCTTTATATTTGTCAGGAACTGCTAAGGCTGCATATTTCGTACTCTTCCAAAAGCTCCAAATGCTGTAGCTGCTACAACATCTGCAGCCTTTCGTCCAGTACTCGCATCCTTTCAATAAGTCGACATGCTGTAATTAACAGTAACCCTGTGGGAGACCAAAGGACCCAGACAGAGGACTTCCGAACCAGAGGACCACAGGACAGGAGGACCCGGGGAGAAGAGGACCAGAGGACTAAAGACCACAGAGCCAAAACAAAAGATGAAAGAACACTCAAATTAACCAGTCCTCCATTCTGGGGAAGTAGGACCATGAGCTTTTAATTGCTTAGGCAACCATAGCACACTGCCCTGCATAATTACGTTTCCACGTAATTGGCATGACTGGTAATTCCTCGGCCCCAACTATAAGACGACACCACCCTAAACATGGCGCCTTCAAATGCGCCCCTAGGGTTTAGGCTTTCGGGTTGTTTCAGGCCCCCATCTCACGGGGTGTTGTCCCCCAAGTGTACAACATAACCAAAGTCCTGTGCAACTACCCCAAGCCAGCCCCAGAAGAATCACTACGAGTCCCTTCAAAGCACAACTGAAGACGGACAATCACGGCGTAAACACTTCAGATGGCTCAAAAGATGAGGTAAAGGAGGGTGGGGTAGAGGAAATAAGCGCCAACAGAATAGAACCTATAGTAGGGATCCTTCCATCCACCTACCCTGAACCCTAAACCCTAAACTCTGAGCCCTAAACCCTAGAGCCTAAACCCCAACCTACCTTCATCCCAATTTCCCGGCCTGAGCCCTACACCCTCTAAGGTTAGAAGTTTAGGCTCCTAATTTGGGCCCTTAGGCCTTTTAGGGGGGATTCTGTAGGGGTACATCTAGGGTATATAGCAGGCATATGAGGATTTCAGGCTTAGGGGTCCATGTTTGAAACCTTAGACACCCTCGAAATCTTCAACTCTCTGGAGCTTATGCCCTTGCACACCTGCAGTTGTTGAACCCTTTTTGAGGCACGGACTAAACCTTCAAATCCTAGAGCCTTTGAACCCTGAGCCCTAAGCCCTCAACCCTTCAACCCTTGAAACCCTGAAAAACCCTCAACCCTTGAAACCTTGAACCTCAACCCTCACGACCCTTCACCGCCAACCCCAAAGCCCTAAACTCCCCCCCTAAAAATCCCTACGAACCCCTGAACCCTCGCATTCTGCAGCCAAAAGCACTTCGCAAGGGCGGCTGCTGCTCCAGAAGAGATTCTGCCCAGCCTGCGTCGTGAACTGACCATTGAGATTCACGGTGGTTCCACGGGTTTAGGGGTCCAAAGGGTTTAGTTTGAGGAGCTTACGGCTTGGGGTGCATGGACAATTATTGCTATTGCTATTATCTTTCTTACTCTTGCTAATCAATGCTAGTACTGTGAACCTACTATGGATGCTTTCCTAGTGGTACTACCACCCTACTGCTACTACTATTGCCTCTACATGGGCGGCCCAAGAATATTGAGCTACTTGACCGGCCCTGCAGAAAAACATCCCAACTAGTATCCCCCCTAATAATGGAGAATCAAGTGGAAAATGAAATGGACACTGGGATCATATGGGGGATTGTAGCGTTATAGGTAAGGGTGATTAAAAAATGGCAGGGAAATGTTCTTCGAAGCACCTGTACGTGAACAGTTCGGGGAGCGCGAGGATAGTTGGTGCACCTTAACATACCTTGACATGCTTTGCAAGTCTTTCAACATGTCCTGGGGAAAACGTGTCGCCTCCAGCTAGAGCCTAGTGGCAGAGTGTATGGGGATTTCCAACAATTGGGGTGGGGGTCTTTTTAGTGGATGTCCCAGCAATAAGGGTTAACATATCTCAGGATGTGTGAGGGCCAAAAATTGGGAAACACTGAACAAAACTCATTGGCTACTGATGCCGCAGCCTCCTCGAGAGGTTCGTTTGGAGTCTCTCGGAGGATAATACAGGGTCTTGGCCTATCCGAGCTTCTCTGAATTGCGGTCTCATTCAGAGGTCTCGTGTCTTCAGCACCATCCAAAGTTTCCGGCATGGCATTGCACTGAAGGTCGCCCACGTGGCGGGGCACAAAAAGCATTGGGCTGATGTCCTTTCGAGAGGTCGGCAGAAGGATCCCAGATGTTGGGATCAGTTGAGTATGGCCAAGCGCAGATGTTTGAATTGGGCTGAATTGCTTCAGGGCAGTGGTGCCGCGGCCCAAGTGCTGGATGAGCATTCAGTGGATTCGCTCACTCGCAGAGGACTGTGAGGCTACAATATGTGGTGCTACCAGTGTGGTGCAGACCCATTAGGGCCCATGCCGTGTGCTGGGCACGCTACAGCGGGCGTCGAGCGATGCCATTGTTGTCTTTCTCAGATTCTCCCCCTGTGCCGGGGATGAGTGGCCGCGCGTTGTTTGGCATGTGTTTCTGTGCAGGTGCGGCCGACTTTTGGTAGCCGCTGCACTCGGGAGTGCAGACAGTATGGATATTCATGAACTTCTTGGCTGCTCATCCTGGGTAGAACGTAATCCCTTCCTCTTCCTGGCCAGTTTCTTAGGAGGACCCCAAACCCTAAACTTCTAAACCCCCTTGTGAGATGAGGTTGTTACTTCCATGCTCTCCAGAAGGACAGCCCAACACATGTGATTGAGCACATATGAGTAATAGTCTAAACTCCTAGTGTCCCCCTTGATCACCCCTATAATACTCCCCTAAACATCCCCTGAAGAACCCCCTTTAATGAGTTTACAGCATAGCTCATATGTTCGAGAAAAAAGGAGGCATCTATCTTGGATACGGACAGCAGTTGGGGTGGAGCAAGGCCAAGGTACCGAAAATGTCAAGAATCCCCTTTCTGAGCCAAATGGAGGTCATAACGCAAGGGCCTGCTGTGATTAAGGGTTGAGGGTTTGGGGGTTTTGGGTTTAGGGTTCTATCTATATGTTGTACGCAACCAGCAGAACCATCCTTGACACCCCACCTTATGTCAGATAGGCCTCTCAACGGAACCAAGCATCCTCTGCTACAGGTTGTCGCCGGCACCATACTTCATCCCCATATCCTGTATATCCTCCAGAGAACAAACAGGACCTTCTGGCTGCCGTATATGACTCACAGAGGGTCCTCATTATCGGGCTCCGAATTCCCAAAGCTTTTTTCACATATTTACACCTCCGAAACAGCCATGACAATGGCCTTTGTACCCCAAATACTAGGTAAAGTCTATCATTCTGGGTGTTCGGGAGGTCTACCCTAAACCCTAAACCCTAAAACCCTAAACCCTAAAACCCTAAACCCGGTTTAGACCCTAAACCCTAAAACCCCAAACCCTAAACGAATCATTGTCCCAGTGGCTGGCAGGCACCGCAGCGGCAAACTCGGGCCCTGCAGGTGGGCAAAGGTCAAGAAATTCCTGGCTCTTCGGCAAGAATCTTAAGGTTTTGAGTTTGGGTTTGGGGTTTAGGGTTTACGGTTTGGGTTTAGGGTTTACTGTTTGGGGTTTAGGGTTTAGGGTTTAGGGTTCAAAATGGGGTTGGGGGTTTCTACTTAGCCTTTTGCCCCCCTACGCTGTTTGAAGGGAATTCTATCGGTGGGATATTTCAAATTCAAGCACAGAGGTGCCTAGGGCCCAGGGTTACTCTGCCGTGCCTTCCACCCTGCCACAAAACAGAATGGGCAAAACAGCAAAAATCTAGTTCATAAACCAGGACCATCCTAGAAACCTTAATTGGGGTTATAAGGCCTCTAATAGTCAGAATGGAGGGTAGGGGCTCATGTGGGGTTCACAAAATGTTGGGACGAGGCCCCTGCAAGTACTGGACATCGTGAGGTTCATCCCACTTGGGTAAAGGCTTTCCCCTCCCCAATCCCATATAGGTTGCGTTAAGATTTAGGGCGTTTAGGGTGTACACCTTTACAAATAGAAAAAACAGTGTCCGGATATTCTTTGAACACCCCGAAATCATCTGTTACCGGACCTATACCCTAAATCTCCTGTTAGCGGGAGGCCGAAACCCTAAGCCCCTAAACTATCCCTAAACCCAAGCTCCTACATCTCCTGTTCTGGGGGGCCTTTTTAAAATCAACAGCCTTCAGTTCTTAACCTGAAGCCCTTCGCATTGCCCCGGGATTCAGGGACGGTGTTGCTTGCAGATATTCTACCCCAAAGTAGGCAAGAGTTTAGGGGGTTGCTGTGAAGGAGCTGACTTTGAATTACTACAGTGGGGCAGACCATGATTACTACTAACTATCTTGTTCTAAAACTATAAATATATATATATGTGATATAGACCTAGTAGGGTAACTTAACTTAAGCTCCTTGACTGTAACCGAGGTTCAACAAGGTTCCTTTTGGTAACTTAACCCCAAACTCTACAGGGTTTAAGGTCTGGAGCTTAGGTTTCCACAACAAGGTTCCGTTTTGCAATTCCCTTCGGTAACTTAACCCCAAACCCTCTGTCAGCCCCTCCCAACCCCTTTCAAAGAGAACTTACCTGAATTTAGGTTCCGTCACAGTATCCCAGCTAAACCCACCTCTCAAAGAGAACCTACCTGAATCTAGATTCCTGCACAGTTAAACCCCCGACCCTGAACCTAATCCCTAAACCCTAATCCCTCAACCCTAAACCCTATAAAACCTAATCCCTAAACCCTAATCCCTCAACCCTGTAAAACCCAATCCCTAAACCCTATAATCCCTCAACCCTAAACCCGGAAACCCAATCCCTGAACCCTAAACCCCAAACCTTGTAAGACCTAAGACCTAATCCCTAATCCCTGTAAACCCTAAACTCAGACCGCACCTGCGATTCCACTTCCACCAGCCCCCGAAGGGCCGGCTCGGTGGCAGCCAGCACACGGAGGACCACCTGAGCAACAGTCTAAACTCCTTAAAGGGAGTTATAGAAGGGGAGCATTACAGGGCTTATTAAGGGGGATCCTAGGAGTTAGGGTAGGGCTTATTAAGGGGGATACTAGCCTTAAAGGGGGCTATATAAGGGAAGTATTACAGGGCTTATTAAGGGGGATACCAGAAGTTTAGAAGGGAGTTATATAAGGGAAGTGTTATTGGGCTTATGAAGGGGGATACTGGGAGTTTAGGCTATAGATCACCTGAACAGAACGAATGAAAAAGATCCTCTTCAAGGGCCTAGATGGTGGATACCAAAATTTCTGCTTCACCCTAAGTACCGTACCTTATCCTACCTTATACCTTGGAAGTTTTAGCATAGAAGAAGAACAGGGCCGTACAGGACGTTTAGTTTTAGCACTGGGGTCATATAGAGGTTTATATGGGTGTGTCGAGGTACGGGCTGGGGTTTAGCTGCTAGGATTGTTCAGAATGTCCTTGCCAAGGAGGGGCTACGGGGAATACACGTCTCTAAAGGGGGATACTAACAGAAAAGGCAACCTACCTTTGCGATAGGGTTTGGGGCTTAGGGTTTATAGGGTTGAGGGTGGCAGGTACTTTGGACGACTGCCACTGGAGGATTGCATATGAGCCGCTCAGAAAAGGGTCGTTCCGGGCATGTTATACGTCATAAGCTGATTTTGTCAGGTCAAGGTTACTTAGATCACAACCCTTTTTTGCATGTGGATCCTGGGCTGGATGCCACAAACACCACGACTCAGGACTGCTGCCCGCCACTTCGCTGGACACACTCTGCGCTCTAAACCGAAACCCGAAAATCTGGACCATGGGACTGGGATGACTGACGCTACGTTGCCCCCTTTAAACGTCTTAAGCTTGGCTGCGTGGTACTTCAAAGCCCCCCCAGAATCATTTATACCTAGGATCCCTCAGGCCACAATAGGGGAAACACATAATTCTCCCAAAGTGCCACCTCGTGAGGTGGGGGGGATAAGTGTTCTGACTTTTGGCTCTTACTGTCAGAAAACTACCTGGGCCCCAAAAGTATGTAAAATAATGGCCTTTATGGCTATTATTATGGGTTTAGGGCTATTATTTTACATACTTTTGGGGTTTGAGTAGGTGTTGATTGCCTGAGAAACTCGGCCGTAGGGTTTAGGGCTTTGGGCTCGGGATTTAGGGCTTGTTAAGGGCACAGGGAATACACCTCACGGAAATAAGACGATAACCCATATAGCTCCTTTTGCAAAGAACTGAAATCAGTACTCCAGGGTAGACATGGATGGTTTCAGGATTCAATGGGAAGTATACCCTCCAGTGTCTTCAAGCGTGTCTTGGCTTTCAACGCAGCTTGCTTCTGGGCTAGGCCGATTCGAGACCACGAGCAAATGTAGACTTCGATTCATAAACCCCTCCGTTTAAAGGCCTTAACATATTGGGATATCTGCTATAAATCCTATTAGGGTGGAGGGGTTTATCAATCAAGATTAAACCCTAAACCCTAAATCCTAAATAGTAGTTTCCAGTGTCTTTTCCGGTATCCCAATTAAACCCCAATATAACCCCCATATAGCCCCAGTATAACACCCCTGGGTTAGCATAGTACTGCTTCAAGCCTAGGCAAATCGTTTGCAATTGATGACAGAAACTCACAATGGTCCCAAACCTTGCTGGGGTACCTTTAAAGGGGGATATCGGGGTTATATAGGGTGTGTTTGTATATATGTATATATACATATACATATATATATATATGTATATGTATATATCTGTGAGCTCTTGATCTTTTAGGCATAGAACCCACCCCTAAGTAGATAGAATATACCGGGGGGCTATATCTCTGGCGGATCTATAAAGCAAAGCCCTCAACATGATACCCTATACAACTATTGAGTAATTTCCTGGAGCCCTTGAAGGAGGATCTACTTTCCAGATCCTCCTGGGGGCCTGGGTTGGGGTTTAGGTTTTGCAGCATTTGAGGTTCCAAGGACTCCTGCAAATACGTAAAGTTGAGCGCTCAAGGCTTTTGCATTTTGGGATACGCAAGGGGGGGAGCCCCTGTTTTGAACAAAAGGCGAGGAAGCCAAAGGGTTCAGGATCTGAAACAATGCAGAAATTCCCTATATCTTCTTCACCGAAGCCTGTACATGTTCTCTTGAAAAGGGGTCTGATATACAAAGCTGAGCTTGGTCCATGCTGTTTCACCCTACCTACCTTCTCACTGAACAGTATGTATCTCGCGAACCCCAAGACAAGGGGCCTCTTGGGAGGAATAGAACAAGTACTAGCTATGCTCATTTAGTTCCTGTTGCTGAACTCTAAACCTTTTATACGAGGTTGCCCAGCTCATTCACTCCACTCCTCCCATCCCAGTACACTTCTTGGAAAGACAAGATAACACTGTTTGTGTCACAAATATAATAGCTGAAAGAGACCGTATGATACTACCTGGTTACCGAAACCTAGACGCGCAAACGTAAATCGTGCCTTCCATGTGGTACGAAACTACTATTGTATCACATGCCAGGAGCACCTACTCTTCACCTGGAACCGAGAAGGACCCTATTCATGGCCTTTAAGGCCCAAAGTATCAAGACCCTACACCACAAAAACTTTTAGGGTCCTCTAATAATGGTACGTAGGCCCTAAAGGAGGGACGTCGGAGGGTCTAGGTAGTTCTTCTTTATAGACTTAGGCGCTTTTTTGACTTTTGATCCAAGGTAGGTAGGTAGCATGAAAGGCCCTGTCAGGCGCCCTACCTCATCCTCCAATTCCTCACCATAGACCTGGCTGTCACCCTAAGGCTTAGGGTTAAGGGCTTAAGGGGAAAAGGTAGGGTTTAGGACTTAGGGGTGTAGGTAGGGCTTACAGTTTAGGGGTCTAGGTAGGATTTAGGGGATTTAGGGTTTGAGGGTTTGGGGGGGTTTTGAGGTTTTGGAGCTTAGGGTTGCCCCTGAATCAAGGAATAGGGAATACACCCTAAGTCTTGGTCAGGATCCTCTTACGATTTTGGTGGACTTCAATGTAGTTCCCCTTTTCATTTTCATTTTCTAGATGTGTATCTGTACTAGGACCCCAAAGGGAGGGATGGGTTCACAGTTCCTTAAACATCAAGAAATGTATGAAATCGGGCCCAGATTGAGGAACCCCTACAACAAGAATTGTAATCTATTGGGCCTCACAAGAAGATCCCCAAGTGCTGTCAACCATTTCACCACAAGCTAGAAGTCTAAACCCTAAACTCTAAACCCTAAATCCTAAGACCTGAGCCGCAACCATTGCGCGTGGGATTTTACTGTAATTATGGAGTCAGGCGTACGGTGAATGGCCACAAGGGTACCCCTGTTATATGGTGCAAAATGTACTAGCCCCAAATAACCCGAAAACCACTGGCCCAAAATCCTAAAACGCAAGCCCAAATCCCTTAGCCTTACAAACCTGAAAGCAAAACAACGGCAGGCACACATAGTTTCCACAGCGACCCATTACCTGCCTCCGGGTCGTTCAGCTGCAACCGCGTGAAGGCCTGAAATTCTGAGCGAATGAGCAGCCTACAAGGGAGGACCAAGTGCAAAAACAATGAAATGGAAACTGTGTCCATATAGTTTTTTTTTGGGGATAGGATATAGCAATGTAGGGGTTCAAGTACTTGCCAGAATCATGTTGAAGTCTATTTGAGGTACCGTATACTATCACGTTAAAAGGGATCTTGGTGATTATTCGGCCTTCTACTTCATGTGTTCAATCTCCCCAGGCAAAACCCTTCGGGACCTAGGTTTAGGGTGCATAGGGTTCACAAAGGGAGTATAGTAACCATACCAATCCTTAAGGGCAAAGGCTTTGGGACCACTAAGGCCAGGGGTCACGACATAGCGGCACCAAGAACAAAATGGGGCTTGGGCGCTTTTTGTAGGGTCCCGATTACCGAGGAAATACTTTTTTCCGGGGTGTATGGGACGACTAAACCCTCAACCCTAACCCCTAAACCCCAAACCCCAAACCCTAAACTCCATTTTTTTAATTTGGGGCTCTGAAGTTGCCGTCATGGAAGGCTTACAAGTAATTCGGGCAGAAGGATTGAGACTCGGAGCCTACCCCAGGTGAGTAAGGTTTTTTTGGTGGTTAAACCCAGTCAGATTATATTCCTTATAGAAAATACTATACCCCAAAAGGAGGCTATAATCTTACTCTATATTGGGTACCATAGTACCCCCAAATAAAATACTACTCAGGTGTCCAGTGCTGTGTGACGACCTTACATGCAGGTGGGCTTTAAGTTCCTGGTAGCGTGTGAGTCAAACTGGGGTCTGGGACTCTGCTCATTTCGGGGACCCCTTATATACACCGCTGTGTGATTTCGGTTTGGGAACTCTACCCATCTTGGAAGAAACGATGTCAGCTTAGGGGTGTAGGCTAGGGTTTAGGGTATAGGCTTTAGGGTTTAAGGGTTAGGGTTTAGCGTTTAGAGTCTAGGGTTTAGGGTCAAGCAATCTCTACCTAGCCCCGATGGCCACTTATAGTCCTGCACCCGTGCCTTCCAAGAGTATCCGCACAACAAAGTCTAAACCCTAAACCCCAAACCCGAAACCCTAAATCCTAAACCCTAAACCCTAAATCCTTAACCCTAAACCCTAAACCCTAAACACTGCTGTTTGTGCGTTGTTCAAACCAAAAGCCAACAAGGACCCCACCGGACATGTAGAGCGTCTACTGGAATGATGGAGATGCTGGTTAGAGTGACAACTTTCAGCAACAGATAGTAAAGTCAGGTATACAATCACCCCCCATTTGGGCTTATCTTTCACAGCTCTGTACTTATCATACCCCTGAGCGTAACATTTGTGCACTTTAGGGCCCCTTGTAGGCCTCATTCATAAACTTTCAACCCCAGGGTGCCCTCCATTTGAAGTTGAATGAGGTTCTATGAGGCTTTGGCTCAGACGAGTTCAGAGTGTAGGATGGAGGCCGTGAAGACACGCGGCTTGAGAGTTCGAGAGCTGAAGGCTTACAGACTAATGTAGATGCGGAAGGAATTCGAAGAGGATGCTGAGGTAGTATACTCTCTCGCTCTCGCGCTGACTCGGATCCGTCAGCTGTATATACTCTACAGTCACAGAGTTATTAGAGCATTGCACGAACAATTTCTGCAACTAAATGTAACTAGTTAAGGCCACGTCACGAACCCCGGGGCCAAGAAAGTGTCAGGGTAGTTCCCGCACAAAAAGGCTATCCAAAACCCTCAACTTAAAGCATCAAACCTAAACCTTGGATCCTACACCTAAACCCTACACACTAAAACCCTAAAACCCTAAAACCCTAAACTCTAAACCCCTAAACCCTAAAACCCTAAACCTTATGGCAACACAAGAAACATCCTGAGCACCCACGGCCAGCCTTCTTAACCAAATGCGACCACGGATATACCTCAGCGGTCAGTCCTGAACCCTAAACCCTGATGGGGGGCCTCTAGGGAACTCGGGTGCATACAGGGAATCTACGGGGATTATGGGGGTCCTCGTGTACCGAAAACACTTAGAGGGTGGTTTCCGAAAAAATGGGGCCCCCGAACTACTGCAATCCTGAAGATAGGTACCCCCAACAAGGGAACACCTAATTTTTGAAGACTCTTAAGTTTACCTGTTTTGACCGTATAGAGGGATTGTAATGCATTTATAGGTGCCCCTAACAGGTAAAGTGAAGTTCCCCAGCTACTAATCCCCTCCCCTGATTCAAAAAGCCTACGACCCGCTATATAATAATAAATATTGCCCTCTATATCTATATATATATATGTATATTGGTTCTCTATAAAGTTTAGGGTTTAGTGCTGATAGGGTTTAGGGTCCTATATGGGGTTAAGGGATTAGGGGAGCAGGGGGGGCTTATCAGTAGGGGAGGGGATTAGGGTGTGGGCTTTGCGTTTTTTTAGGGGTTTGGGGCATCGGCAGAGCATGGTTGAGGGCTATTAGGGTTGAAGGTTGTAGGGTTTAAGGATTAGGGTTTAGGGTTTCAGAGTTTAGGGTTGGTTTCAGGCTAAGGGATGGTTGAGGGTTTAGGGTTTCAGGGTTTAGGCTTCAAGGATTTGGGCTTAGAGGTGTAGACTAAAGGGAGGGCTTAACCGGGCCCTTATTGAGGTACGGCTGTAAACTATAGCTGTGTATTCCTCACAGGGCCTTTGTAATTGAAGTCCAAAAGCCATGACCCAGTTCAACCCTCCACCCGACAATCTGGGGCTTTGGCGCAAAGCAGGGCTGAAGATTAATCGTTTCCCCTAGTATTAATAAACGTCTCCCGCCAATCTCCTCAACAAAAAACACTACCGGGCGATGATTTATTAGAGTTTCTACAAAGAATTATACGAGATCTAATTAAATCGAACTAAAATCAATTGACCTCTACTAAAGTGTAAGTAAATCGCATTAGAATCAAGTTCGCATTGTAACGAGACAAATGAAACCTATTTACTGTAGATCTTTGTAAACGACCTAACTAACAAGGAGCTCAAATCGCAACAAAACCGGTTAAACTTGCCTTCACACCGTCTTAAGTAACTTCCTTGAGAAAAACTTGGTATTCAAAAGTAATAAAACCAAGGAAATCAAGAAGATCCATACATCCTTTTACATCTTTTGGATTCCTCTTTAAAAGCCCGTACTTGGGGTGAGGGGACTTAGTAAGCACCTTAATAATGGGGATGATTGGGGTTACTAAGTGGCTTATAGGGGTTACACGTATACTTACTAAGTCCCCCTCACCCTCAAAGTAATGATCTCAGACCTCCCCTCGCCTAATGCATTGTAATGGTGATTCCACGGTAACGCCTTGACCCCGGTGAAGATAGGCTTCCAGGAATTTCTGGACTTGGGAGTTCTCTGGGAGGAGTATTCGTATTATTGAGCGGAAACTTCTGACAAGCCTAGACCACAACACCTTAAACCTCTTCTATATAACCCTTGTATGGCACTAGCTTACATGTCAATTTTCCATGTTCGTTTCCGTCTCGTTCTGCTATTTCCAAAGAACGTGGGTAAATCTTTGAACCATCTGATCGGAAATCCTGCTTTGGGCCCTAAGCCCTAACCCTAAACCCTGAATCCTAAACTCTGAACCCTAAACCCTAATCCCTAATCCTCACACCCTATATCCTAACCCCTAAACCCTACACCGTAAGCCCTAAGCCTAGCAGCCTCCTGTAGCCGTTTGCGGCCGCCCGGAACATCCTTGCAAGCAAGCATGACTTTCGCGGTTTCTCCCCAAAAGCTGCAGTCATCCTCAGAGTTTTTATATAGCCCTTAATACTGTTGATGGAGGAA